TTGAATACGTAGGCACGTCATAGCTTCAGACCTACTTTTGGTGCTAAAAAAGCATTTCGTCATCGACATTCAATACTGCCAAAAATCTCTTTGGGTCAGTTGATGTTTGCCATCCAGGTTTCTCTCTGAACCTTTACCCTGGTAATCGCCAATTCTAGTGTTTACTGTGTACTCCTTTATCCAATCCATTATGTGACAGTTTTTTTAAATAGTACTGATTTTCAAATTTTTATTTCGAAGTTTAATGACATCTCGCCGATCTGATTAACCTCGTTATAAGATTAAAAATAAGAACGTACAGGCAAAGATCTTAGTCTTTCCGAAACAGTGACAGCCCAGGATCATTGTGGAATGAGTCACCAAGGTGGTTCAAAACTTCTGTGGTCTTTGTGCACCGCCTGACTATGAACTGTGAATGACGCACGTTGATTATACTTCACGCACCGTTGTCGACAGCACTAATAGATTATCTCAGACACCTGCCTGAAACCGACGGCGATTCAGCCAGTTTATCTGTAAATGGCCCACCGGTATCGGACTGCACGAATGTTACTTAAAACTCCCGGTTGCTATGGTTGATGTAGCGGTAAGGGGCACGTTCACATAAGCGGAGATGCATTGCGAATGTTACGCATTATTAAAATTAAACCAAATAATTTATGTTTTCGTATCAATATGAATTGAATCTGAAGGTTTTCCACTTTACGAAATCGACATTTAGGTTTCGTTAGAATGGGAAGCATGATATACTGAATTGGACTCCTTTTCAACTGTCAATAATTTTGACGAACTTACTCCCCAATAGAAATATGCTTCACTGTTGTACATTGCTTCCAAGATATTTTAGGGGTCTGAGTGTCATATGTGCATCGCACCATAAATTTATCGTTCATTGTTCGTTTGAAAGCACGGACAAAAAAGAAAGCGTCAAGTGGATTGATTCGCAATCGTTGGTGTGCCGTGGGTCCTGAGGTCTGAGGTTCGAGCTCTGCCGCCGCCAACAGACAGCCTAAATACTAGGCTTATTCCATTGAAGCCTTACGAGCTTCACCACTTCGAGTCACATTAAAGAACGGTTTCATTTAACAATTGCATGGTTATACATCAGTTAGTACGACGGGCAATCTAGAAAATGCCTGTTTGAGTAGGTCCAATCTGTACGTAGAATGCTAGATGGTGGTAATGTGTATTGTCATAGCCGAAACCGGACAATGCCTGGCATTTACCATCTTCGGAAGTGTGTCGGAAGTCCCGGGTGACATAGGTAAATTGAAGATAAACGGCTAGAGAAAACACATACATCAGACAAAACAGAATTCCGAACATAATGAGCTCTGCTTTGATCTTTCCTCTATCCAAAATGTTTAGTGTGTTACAGAACGCGTTTGACTCGAAAATTATTCTGAACTGGCCGTTCTTCCAGTCACATGATTAAAATACATAATCACAACGTGAACCGCAATGTCACACACAAAGAGAAGAGCAAGTGGAACTTTGACTATGGTACTTTTTCCCATGAATAACGAACAAATTGCTACAAAATCATTGAAACTGCAAAACTCGTAAGATGATACCGACAAGCAAGAGATAGTAATGAGGTTTGTTCTTGTTGTGTGTGTGTGTATCAGTGCTTATGTAAAAGTGAGGCTGATCCTGTTGTGCCAGTAGTAATATGAATTAAATAGTTCGTAAATAAGAAAAAGAACGGCGAGCAAATGGTGATGTATTCCATTCCCCTTGATCACTGATTTCTCCTGTTCCATTGTGAAGACCAATAATTAAGATGGACCAATGGAAGCCGGTCAGTGTTATTAATGTTGCGTAAGATATAACAAAGAAGATTCATCAATGAATTCCAAAGTTAGATTATATGCGTATGTTTTTGGGGGAAGATGAATGAAGGATGAATAATGGCACATGAACAAAGAAAACTTGTACAGATAGACATGCAGTTATATATGTATATATATGTATAACTTAATATCAGGCATTTATGGACGCAACTGCGACCCAAATCACAATAATCTCATTTCGTTTCGTGGGTGCACATATAAGCACACTGTGGGCAAGAGAAATAAAGAGAAAACAGGACAAGGTCCATGTCTCTGTGTACAGTTCACAACCAACTGGTGGTATTGAGGGGTTTTTATTTTTACCGAATAGTGATCAAAGTCTGTGTGTGCGTGTATGTGTGTGTGGAATGGCGCTCCTGAGGCTTTGAGCGTTTCTCAAAGTGCACATACATGAATGTCGGACACGTAATAAAGCTGGAGGCTGATTTTGCTAGGGGAATGAAGGATTTCGTAAAAAGTTTGAAATGCTAATGATTTGCTCGGTCTAAGACAAAGTGTGACCTGTGTTCAACAATTTGCCAAGTAAGCAATTCCACGGTGTGAATGATACACGTTGTTGGATTTTGTAGATAATTTGAAGCATCTGTCAGAAGATGTAGCAACATGAAACCATGAAGCCTATAAAATTGACAAAGAGAGTATTTGGCAAGAATAATTCGGGGCAAACATTGAAAAATGGTGGCAGTCTGTAGAGTTTGATGTCTTTGAATTTCATTTGACTGATGGAGAGTGACGATTAAATCTTGTTTCGTTTTGAATGTCCGGGACAAATGATAATCATATCTGGCGCCTTGTTAGTCGATGTGGAAAGGGAGGTATCTGCGTATGTTGATGTTCAGTAACGTAGCAGCAGGAATCGAAATATGTTTCCCATAGCAAGAAGAACGACAGGGAATCTATTGCTGAAAGGAATAATCGAGTTAATGTATGATAAAAATAATTTGGGCAAAGGTGTAGAAAGTAAAGTTCTATTCTGATTGCATGGATGGTTCCTCACACTCCACTGGCTCCGCTCACATCCGCACCAAGTGACTTTGCTATGCTCCATTCGACGGGTTCCGGTGATGGTGCTTTCGCCAGCTCGGGATTGGAGTTGACTAGTTCTTTCATCTCTGTGAATGCTTTCGCGAGCATTTCACCAAATTGGGATGCATTATATTCCGGGTTAGTCTTCCAACAAGAAATAACAACTACTATGTAGTCCTGATGTGGATTATAGGCTGCACCGTAACCATTAGGTACAACCGCACCATAGCCCAGGATGGCGTCCATAGTCGTTGGAACCTATCAAAAGAAATCAGATGAATTTGGTCGATGAGGAATAATAAAATCAGACGAAGAATAATATGCTCGTCTTTGAGCTACTCATGAGTAATGCAATCGGAAAGTTCACTAAACCTGAAATCGGACAAACTTTGTGATCGGACACGAAGGTTTTGAGATTTACCTAACTTAATGTTGCACCTGAAATTTGTAACCCTCTAGTTCTATAAATCATCGAAAATCTTCAAGATCAATTGGTATTTTAATTTCACCACCAAGGTTGTTTTCTGAAGTACATCCGGAATAAGGATTCATCCTCCCCGATTAAGATATTCAAGTCAAGTCAAGTCAAGAATGCACTTCATTCATCCAATGTGGACAGAATTTTCAGTGAAAAGAATATTATCGCTTTTGCTTTGGCATTGCACGCTATTGAGAATGAGCTTTAAGATATGACAAATAGTTACTGAGATGATAATGAATCGGACACCGAGAACGCGTAAAAAAATAAGGAAAATGTCAATGTGGAAATTTACATTAGACTGTGTATAAGTTCGTTTGATATTCGCTTCCTAGAAAACAACAAACGTGAAAGGTAATGTACAGCGGAGTTGTGAAAAGCAGTGGTACGAGTATATAAAGGTTTATTTATTGCGCATCACAGAAGTTGAAATGGAGCTAGCTAGAGCCATGTGTAAGGGATGTAACGCATCAGACAAGATGTAGTCACGCAGACGGTCACACGCATTTAGGTGTTGGTTAACAATGGAATCAACCACCTCCTCATAAGGTACAACTCCATATCTAGATATGCTTTTCAGAGAGCGTCTAATTAATATGAAATCCTTGCACAGTAGACCGGGAAAGATAACGGGATACCAGTAGGTCCCATGGCATAAAATGTATGAGAAAATAAATTTGGAGATGATGTACAATGGCACCCTCAGATGCTGAAGGCGTAAAACATAAAAGGTCAACTTTCTGACCATAAGAAATGTTTGTTGTACTTGAAGTCAGCAAACACGAAACATCCACGATATTTGAAGTGTTTTGACCTTTCAACTTTTAGGTTATTGATCAAGATATTGGGAACAGATGATCCAGAAAGAGTTGA